TTCCTGCTCACTGTGGATGAAAAGCAGAGGTTTTTAGAGGAAAATATGAATGAAGAAGAACATAAAGTGGAACTAAGCCATAGTTTTTCAGGTAACTTGTTCACTCATTTCTGAAAACAACAAACAATAAAACAAACCCACCTCACCTACATTATGGAAAGTGTATCTTTCAGTACAAAAGTCAAGTGTTTCCTCAGTTTTCAGCTTTAAAACTGAGAAAAAAATACTTTTTCTTTCGAAGCAGCATGACTCAAACCACTTTGCTATCACTGCAGCTTTCACTAAAACTGAGGGGTAAGTTGAATATACATAGCTCTAATCTAAAGCATTATCCCAGTAAGTATCCATATACCCAGAAATTCAGATCTTCAAAGTCTCATTGGTTCTGCTCTTGCAAAAAAGGAAAAATTCCTTTGAGTAGCAGTTTAGAGAGAGAACAGTCCTCCCTGCATTTAACTAAAGCAGCAAGTTTTCTGCTTTTTGCTGTCCAATGCATTAACTGAAACATTTAGCCTGTGAGGCTGCCATGGCAGAGGAAGTGGAAAAAGTTTCTTGAGTCAGTTCAGATAAGGCAGGAAGCTAATTTAAAAGCACAACGAGGGTCTCTCAGAATGGAAACTGGATATTGCTACAGAAGCTAATGCAATCTGGCACTTCCCAAGCCCCATCTACATGCAGAAGTATGCATGGATTAGTGTGCACAGGTCTTGCTGCCAAGTTCTTGCTCACACCACAACTCTGTTCCCTTGGAACAGAAGTCTGTTTATGGCAGTCAGCTGGCAAGGGGGGATGATGATAAAAAGATGTTCTCTATCACTTTCAAGGTGAATCAGTTATTAAGATACAAACAAAACTACTCTTAAGTGTTATTAATGCTTTCGTGCCATTTCCCAGCCATTTCAGAGATGACACATCCATTAGTGACTGATGTCTTAAATGGCCTGTGTTTGCAGGGCAGCCAAGAAACCAATTAATGCACCAGTCTAGCTCAGTTCTTAGTTCTTTCTTCTTTGAATCCACAATTAGAAAAAATTACAAAGCCACAGCAGCTTTTTTTCCAACGGGCTGCAACAGCAGCCAGTGCTTCACAACTTCCCAAACAGCCTCAGCAAGAGTCACCTCTTGACCCTTCAGCAGCAAAGTATTCTGGACAGGACCCAACACTAACTTGTGCGCAGTGCCCTGGGATCTTTCAAAGCAACAGGAAGCAGATAAGTAAAACATGTAATGTAAAACTGAAGATTAGTGCTGAAGCACTTTAGGGTTGGGAAGAAAGAGCCCATACGAACCAGTAGAACAACGTGTAATTGGTGTCACTGCTTGCATTCTCCCCAGGACGCCACTTACAAACCATGTGCTCCAAATTGTGCCAAACACAGCTCAAGTCAACAGCAGCAGTACCTGGAACACCTGCAAGGCAAGTTGGAAAGGTCTCTGAAGATTTCTTTTGCCAGCAAAAAATCTCCTGCCCACGTTCCAGGAGTAAAACATCCCTTTTTATGCAACTGAAACTGGAAGGCAGGGGTGGGTTACCCCTCAGCCTGCACGGCCTGTCCCTGCACAGCCAGGGAGGAATTCCAGTTGTTTTATCACTTGCAAGAGCTGGAATGGCAACAGGGCAACTGCTAACTGAAAACATCACAACAGGGAATCTCAGTTTCCACCATGTCTCAGTTACTACTTGGTTACCTGATGCTAAGGACAAGGTGTTGAGTCAGGAAAACATTTTGTTCTATTAAAATACAGCTACATTATAAAGGAGTTAAAGTAACTGGCACTGATATGCAGAGCACTTAGTTTTATAGTTGTTATATCTATCAAAGCTAAAATTACTCAGAATTTGATGACAGTTATGTTCTCCAGACAGTATTAGTTTCTTAGTGTTCTGAATATGAAAATACTTGTAGCTCTTAAATAGGGACAACAGCCAGACTGAGGTAGCTTGAATTTTTAATTGAGACCCAAACACCTCTGGACATTCAACTTCTTCAAGATATGGAAAACCCCAATTACAGAAGAAAAATACAAATGAGTACAGAGCAACTATAGACTAAAGTCCTTCATATCCAATCTTGCATTGTTGCATATTCCAAGTTCTTTACATCGTATTAACCTATTACATCATATTAAGTATTTATTCCTTGCAACAAGTAGCAACATCTCCATCAACTAAAAATAAAATGCATGTTAATTTTATCAACAGTCCAGGCTTTTCTTGATAGCAAAGCCCAAACTACTTTTTACTTCTGAGCTTGCAAACCCAAATCAGTTTTCCTATTCCGAGAAGCAGTTCAAAGTATTTTACCTGCAAGCAGACTTTTGAAAGCCCAACCTGCTTAGTACACCCTGTCCTAATTATCTGCCTTCCTGATTTCCACAATACCCCTTGGCAGACACACAGACAAGCCTGATAAGGTCTCAGAGTCTCCCATCCACCTTGGTTTTCATCCACATTGAATCATGCTCCACAGTTGACAGACTCCAGGCTCTGCTTCCCTGCTGTATCTCTTACTTTCCAGCATCCAGCAGAATACATGATTCCTTCAAGTCTGCTTCCTAACAATTCTGCTGTGGACCTCTTGTTTCAAGGAATATAAACTATTTCTTTTCTATTAACTAAGCTGTGCACAGCTTTCTAGGACCCTAGGCATCTTTTCTGAAAAGCAGAGAACCTAACTATCGTTATTTATGTCACTTACTCAACAAGTTGCTACATTGGCTAGATCATTTCCCCTAACATTTACAAACACAGGGCTATTTTAGGGAGTTTTGCTTGTATAGAAAAAAATCATACAAAATGAACTGACTTGGATGTTAGTCATGAAGTCAACAGGCTTGAAACAACCTAAGCTGCTTCTTGTTTCACACCCGGGGTGAGGCAGACAAACGAGGAATAACAGGATGACAGAGTCGTTCTGGTTGGAAAAGATCTGTAAGATCATCAAGTTCAACCATAACCTCACTCTAGCAGCCATTAACCTAACTTGTACCAAATCCAATGCTTAAACCATGCTCCTAAGCACCACATCTCTATGTTTCTTAAACACTTCCAGGGATGGAGACAACCACCTCCCTGGGCAGCCTGTGCCAGTACTTAATTACTCTTTCAGAGAAGACATTTTTTTCTGATATCTAATTTAAACCTGCTCAGGAATCACACCATTGTTTTGGAGAAGCATTTACATTTACAGGCTTACCTGTAAGGTTTTGAGTTTCAGAACACTCCATTTGGGTTTAAATATAATAATTTGGCCTTCCAGTACCTGAAGGGGGCCTACAGGAAAGCTGGGAAGGGGCTTTTCATCAGAGCAGATAGTGACAAGACAAGGGGTAAAGCTTTTAAACTGAGAGGAGATTTAGGTTAGATATTAGGAAGAAATTCTTCATGACAAGGGTGGTGAGGAACTGGAACGGGTTGTCCAGGGAGGTTGTTGATGCCCCATCCCTGGAGGTTCTTAAGGCCAGGTTGGATGAGGCTTTTGCAGCCTGGGCTGGTGGTTCCCTGCTCATGGCAGGGGGGTTGGAACTTGATGATCTTGAAGGTCCCTTCCAACCTTAATGATTCTATGATTCTGTTTAAACTATCAACTGAACTAGCCCTCACCTCTGGTGTCTCCACACTTCTCCATGATACCCACCTATGATACCGTGTTAGAATGGCACAGAAGAGAGGGTCGTGTGTTCCCCAGGCCAAGAGAGCCATGGAGCCTGGGTCTGGCTGTGCCTGTGTTACCTGTTGGCAGAAGAGAGGTCTCCACCCAGGGGCTGGGCTCGCTGGCGTTATCAGCTTTGCACTCGCTCCTCACTTTGAAGCGCATTTCCTCGTTCAGGAACGTGTCCGTCACACGGAACAGACTCTTACTCCATTCCTGGGTTTGGAGGGTGGGAAGGGGAGGGAGAAGAAGACCAGAACGTTTGGTGTGCCATATCAGACACATGGGAATGACTATTAATTGCTGATCATGTAAGAATACATGACAGCCCTTCAGAAAGGCTGCAACTCAAAGCCAAGGGAAACGAGTGTCTGACCACACGGGAAGCCTCAGCATCGCTGAGCTTTTCTTTTCCCTCATCAGACACACTCAGCTCACCAGAGGAAAACTTCACTTACTCCAGTGAACTGTAGACATGAGCAATGTCTACGTAATGACCTCATCAACGCTTATAAATATCTAAATGGTGGTGCCAGGAGGATGGTCCATTCCCTTTTCCACAGTGTGCAGTGACAGGACAAGGTGCAACAGGGACAAGTTGGAACACAGGATGTTCAAGCTTTACTGTGAGGGTAATAGAGCACTGGGACAGGGAAAGCTTGTGGAGTGTCCTTCTCTGGAGACATTCAAAACCCATATGGATGTGTTCCTGTGTGATGTACTGTAGGTGATCCTGCTCTAGCAGGGGGGTTGGACTAGGTGATGTTCAGGGGTCCCTTCCAACACTGCCCCCTCTGTGACAATGGCCATACAGAGATCAAGGAACAGCTGACAACGTAGGGGGGAAATGGTCCTGCAGTAAGTCTTCATGGGTAATGCAAAATAAGCATGTTTATACTACAGCTGTATAAACAGGAGCTTTTCTTCATCGTTCTGTGTGTGCACATGGGTGTGTGACAAGCAGAAGAAAGAACTCATGAAGGTGTAACCAAAAAACAATGAGAAGCATTTGCATGGATTTAAGGAGCACAGGAAAGCAATTATCAAAACAAATGGAAGGGAGTATGTTTGTGTCAGGAGAAGGCTCTCCTTTCTCATCTGCTCTCTTGAGCATCTTTTCTTGGGCTAGAGGATCTCTTTTACTAACTGGAAACCGGATAAGAAATAATTAAATATTTGTTACGACCAAATAATGGTTTAACCACTCATGTATTAAAAAAAATAAAATAAAAAACACTGGCACTAATGAGAGTGCAGGGAAATCAAACAGCACTGAACAGACCAGGTGATGTGCAGCCTGGCTCATCCCGGCGTGTGGAACTACAGTCCCACAGCTCTTTCACTGAAACTGACTTCAACATCTGTTAGACCCTTCCACAAACCCATTCAGTTCATTAACCTGACCTCAACATCTGTTAGACCCTTCCACAAACTCAGTCAGTTCATTAACCTGACCTCAACATCTGCTAGACCCACAAACTCTTCAGTCTTCAGTTCATTAACCAAACAGATTTCCAACTTGTTGATTCATTAATGAACCCACCAGAAGAGGTAAACAGGTTTCTACTGAGTTAGCAAGTCCAGCTGGCTCACCTAAATGTCAGATGAAGGTCATTAAAGGGGTGTCAAAAACACAGCATCACCCTTTTAGCAGTGTTGAGCCACTGAATCAGCTCTGCTGCTTGTGAAGCCACAGCCTCATTTGAAGTCCAGGATATCCTAGAGCTATCAGAATAACAGGGCAGTCACCATGAAGAGGCCACTGTAAACACCAGCCCTTAAAACAGTCACAGGGCTCGACAACAAAGATCTGTTTCAAGAGGCTTCGTATCGATTTCAACCATACCCAAATGAGCAGGGCTAACAACCCCGCAGCTGCTGCATATTCAAAGCTTCAAGTTCTGATGGTTTGGAATTATGCACTGGTAGCACATTATCTTACTGGCAATACACTGGAAAAATATTTGCCCTACAGCCCCTTTCAGCAACGCTGGCTCCTTGTCCTGACCAACCCATTGTTGATCTACACCAAGGATCACATCTGGGCTGCAAACCACCCAACGCAGAAATAAAAGTAAAAGCCCCAAACAAGGAAGTTTTACAATTTCTGTTGCAGGGAACAAATGCTGTACTCATGAGTCAATCCCTGTGGATAGCTGCAAGCTCAGGCACTGGGACAGAGCAAACACATTATACACAAATACATTAATATTGGCACTACCTGCAGAAGACACTGAACTGTCAGATCACAACTACACCAGGATGGACACCTCTTTCTTAAATCCAGCTCCAGGTGCAGGGGATGAGCCTGTGCCAATTGCCATTTAAGGATGCAGATGACCCTGTTTATCCCCCCCTTTTTTTTTTAAAGCTGCAGAAGTAAAGACTGAATCAAGTATTTTTTAGAATTATTCTCATTCTTCTTCTTTTTCTTCTTCTTATCATACTTCTTGCCAGCAGGACCAAGGAGGTGATCATCCCTCTGTGCTCAGTGAGGCCACACCTCAAATACTGTGTCCATTTTTGGCACCTCAATACAAGGAAGACATTGAGGTGTGTCCAAAGAAGGGCAAAGAAGCCAGTGAAGGGAGAGCACAAGTCTTAATGAGGAGCAACTGAGGGAACTGGGGCTGTTCAGTCTGAAGAAAAGGAGGCTGAGGGGAGACCTCATCACCCTCTACAACTGCCTGAAAGGAGGTTGTGAAGAGGTTGGCACTGGTCTCTTCTCACAAGTAACTGGTGAGAGAACAAGCGGAAATGGCCTCAGGCTGCACCTGGGGAGGTTTAGACTAAAGGTTAGGAAGAACTTTTTCACTGAAAGGGTTGTCAGACACTGGAACAGGCTGCCCAGGGAGGTGGCTGAGGCACCATTCCTGGAGATGTTTAAAAGTCGTCTAGATGTGGCTCTTGGGAATATGGCTTAGTGCTGGGCTTGGGGGGGGGGCAGGGTTAATGGTTGGACTTGATCTTAAAGGTCTTTTCCAATCCAAGTGATTCTGTAATTCTATGTTATCAGTTGCAGCTCCATTATCAGAGGGTGACAGACAGATTTTTCTGATCTGAAGATCCCACATGGTGATATGACCCATTTTTGAGGTTTTTGGTCCTATGACAAAAATTAAAGACTGCACTAAAACTGTATTTATATATATATGTGTGTGTGAATATATGCTTACACATGCACATTTTTATCACAACAAGACAGTTACAGGAGCAAAACAGAGTTTAAAAGGTGATGCACTTACTCTCTTGTCCTGAGGGACCTCATCAACAACAATGTCACTGGAATACTCCAGGTCACAGCTACTGCTGACATTCTCTGGGGGATTCCACGTCCAGTTCAGGGTGCAGATCTGGATAAATGAGTAGTCCAGGTTGGATGGAGGTGGAAGAACTTTTGCTCCTACAAGAAAGAAGTTATCAGTGTTACAGTCCTGTTGATCCACATTTTACCCTTAGTAATACTGAGAGATATTTAACTCTCCACAAGAAAAGAAGCCAAAAGATTCCTCAACGTTGTCAGCTTGTGTTTGCTACCAGATAAGCTACTGCCCACTAAATTGTTTCCACTATTCCTGTTAGTTCAGTCCATTAAACATTTAAGTAATTATAAGAAACACATACACACAAAATAATTTTAAAGCAATTGCAACATGTAACTATGTAGTGACCCGGGTAATGAAATTTATGCTAGTGGAGGGAGGAGAAGTCTCACTTTTCAGGTCTTTTCTGCTGCAAGTTTGCATCACACGTGCTCAGTCTTTATTAAAAACAGTATATACATTTTTGTGAAGCAATTTACACTTCCTTCTACCCCAAAATTATCCATCAGTGCAGTTTTAGAGAGAAAAAAAGGCAAGAAATTACATCTCGCAAGCAACACTGTACGTTGGTGCACAATTTAGCCCAATCCAGCACTAAAAACCTCAAGAAACCAGAATACTTTTCCAATTACTCACCTATTAAACGTTTAATGCTGTGCCCTGGTACAGTGAGCAAAACCAGTGTGGGGTAAAGAGTGATTTGCTGCTGGTGCACTTTTTTCACCTCCCCAAAACCAAGCTAGAAGCAGAGGAAGAGCCATGACTCAGAGATAGCTGCTGGGATAAATCCATTTGTGTATTGACCCTTCCTTACTCTGGTGCACTGAGTCATGGTCTGCTCAAATCACACAGCTTGAAGGTCTCAGTAGAAAACAAAGAAGGGAAATACAGCAGAAAATAGAAAACTGCCAGGAAAAAATTAAACTGCGTCAGACTCTGATTCTAGAAAAAAATTGCCAATTGGTAATTCCCTAAGAAAATGAAAGTGATTTTTGCTTTTTTCAAAGGGCTACTCAAGTGTGTAGGAGATATTAAAGATTAGGAGATATTAAATAAGAGACCAATTGAGACTGTTTCTCAAGGCAATCTGCAGGTAGCATCGCCGAGGCACCACCACCTCTTTGTCTGTGGAACCAAAGTACCTTGGTTACACAGCAGCTTCACAAACACTTTAAACTGATACCAACTAGGGCTGAAGGTCCTGCTCATCCCTGAAAATTTGCTCGTTCCAGGGAACCAGGCTCAGGTCACCCCACCACTTGGGAGAGCACGTAGGGGAAGCGCAGGATGATTCCACCTAGATCAGTTTTCCCATCCAGGTCCCTGCGCAGCCCAGTGCCCTTCTGCTAGTGCAAGGAAAGGGACAGATGGAAAGGCAGAAGACCTTACATCAGTGAGAATTCTGCTCACAGCATCCATGACACTTGCTGGGAGGCTTAGCTGCCCCAGGCTGAAGCAAATTCATCTCACTCTTGGAGCGTTCTCAGACATTTGCACAGTTGAAGGATGAGACATCGTTACCATCTGCACGTCCCTGCGCACGGGCAGCAAAACGTGCTCCAAAAATGAGCAGAACAAGTTGGCTTTTCTGGTTCAGTCTGAACATGCTTGGCTTGTTAGGGTACTTGCAACATTTAAGATTGGTTTCTTTGTTTGCTTAGATTTATAGCCAACCCCGGGGAGCAGAAGTGAAACTTCAGTTCTTAGAAAAATACAGGCTCCTCTGAGAAAGCTGAACCCAGGCAGAACATCTTTGCCAGTTACCTGCTTAACTCATAAAAACTCGTGGTGGGTTTTAGGAACAGCACCAGGGACTTGGGTTTGGAAATAACGAGTCCTTTAGATTATATTAAAAAAAATAGAAAGTATTTCTTCAAGAAGGCTACACAGCTCTTGTCTTCTGTCTTCTAATGATCACACTTCTCATTAGCTATCAAAGCCACGCAGAAGTTTAAAAAATAGTGTCATCTCTGAGTGCTGTTCTGAAGTTTTACACATTTCCCTTGAATGGGTTTGTTTGGGTGCTTATCCTCACAAGGAGCTGGGAATATGAAAGGTTTAGAAATACACGAAATAGTTGTATTAGCATAAAGCTTAAATTTAGTAGGATTTAGATTAGTCTATACAGTTCTGAAGGCCTGAAGTGCTTTAATGTTCCATTGAGCCGCAGATCTGCTTTTATTCACGGGCTTGGCCAGTCGGGCTTTTGTTGTGCAAATTCTACAGACAGTCTAATACGTCTGTAATTAAAATCCCATCACGACGGCAATTTAGCAGAACTAGACCAAGACCAACGACGAGACCTTCCCTCTTAAAAACACAAAAGCAGAGCGATGTTTCCAAGCAGCAAAGCACAGCAGAGCTGAGATCCTGCAGAACCCCGAGGTTGTTTCTGATACTGTGGAAGCATCAACAAACGCATCGAGTACCCTAAAAGTGTCGGGAGGCTTCAGAAACGCTTCGTGTTTTGTCCTCCTGTACTTCCACAGTTATAAAACGAGTTGTAAACCAGTAGAAAAAGAACCATTCTCTCCATCAGCAAAGAACCAGCAAAGCCTCGAGCCCCGTTGCCCATCAAACCCCCCCAGACACCCGCGCATCTTTCCCGCAACTAAACCTTCGTGCTTCCCGCAGCGGGGAAACGAAAAGCAGCGGCAAACTCAAGGGGCAGAGAGCACCCAGCAAGGGAAACCTCGATGCCCTGAGCTCTCACAACCTGCAAGCCCCGAGCCCCGCATCCCGCGGTGCCCGCAGCTCCGCGTGTCCCCGCAGCGACGCACAAGCACAGAGAGAGCGGCTCCGGCTTCGGGATTTATAGAGGCAATCCCGGGAACGGCAGACAGCCCTGAACAGATTGCTGCTGCTCCCCCTGTCAAACGCTGCACAGGACGGCAGATTTTGCAGCATTCCCTTTTCCCGGTAGCCGGGGAGAGGCCGGGAGCGCCTGCCCGCATTGCTGAGCGCGCTGCGGGATGTTTTTGCTACAAAATGAAAGCGTGACGACTCGGGACATCGCGTACAGAGCCCGCAGCCCCGCGGGCAGCCCGACCCCGGCACGGGCAGAGCCCGGCTCGGGGCTGGAAGCGCCCGGTGCTCCCGCTCCTACCTG